ACTTCAGCTGCTGCTGCCTCCTGGGAGGGCAACCCCAAGAACAAGGTTCTCATTCTTGTATTCAGAGGACCCCGAGTGTGAAACACTCCTTCTTACTCTTTTAAAAAAGGCTGTAATAATATAAATACATCATTTCCCCCACGCTTCCTTCTCTCTCTCCAGACCCTCTCTATGGGCATATATTCTTACTCACTTTCAAATTCGTGGTGTCTTTATTCATCTTAACTGTTGCTAAATATAGTTATGCACATGTGCATGCACATATACATATTCTTAGACACATGACTCCACCCTGCCCAGCCGTGTGTACCTTTCAGGGCTGACTCTGGTATTGGAGGACCAAGTGGGGAGCACGACTTTCCCAGCTCTTGGCATCCCTTAGTGCTCTGTAGTTCTTTGTGTATGTCCAAGGCCTGGTAGGCTCTCTCCATCCCCTTGGGCGTGCGTATTGTTATTGTCCTTCTTCTCGTGTGTTTAGGAAGTCGTGTTGGTGAGGCTTTATGGGTGTAGCTTCTGGCGTTGCTAGGAGACAGGGTATCACAGGGAATCCCCTGAGAGAGACTCCTCACAGAGTGTGTTTCGTTCACACTGTATTCTAACTCAGAACAAGTTGTAGCAGAGGCTAAGCGGTGACTTAAGGTGGTGACGGTGGCTAAGGTCATGACATCTACAGGTTTGTTCCCATGCCTTGGGGCTCTGGGTTTGCACTGCCCTAGTGTCCACTCACCCTGAATGCCAGGTTGTCAATGTACCCCTTGCCTCTGTCCGGGAGACTTTCTCACTTGCTATTTCCGCCGTGTATTTAGGTGCGCGTTTGTTACATTTTCTGGAAATTGTATAGAGGAAGCTTTTCAAGTCATCTGAGCTGCCAACATGCCAGAAAGAGTCTCAGAAGGACACGTCACATTTTCTTTTTTTAGTAGCCACAGTAAGCACCTTGTACAAGATTCTATCTACTGAGCCTAGGAAACAAAAATCCAAGTGCCTGGCTCCACCTTGCTTTCTAACAAGAGAAAACCAATTATCTTCCCTGAGAACTTGTTACTGTTTCCCCTAGTGTGAGCCTGGTTTTCCAACTGACACTTTGTCTGTTTTTAAGTCTCTCTAAGATAAGAAATTAGCATTTAAAATGTGCCCAGTGGAAGAATCTCTCTTCTCCTCTTCTCTCTCTCTCTCTCTCTCTCTCTCTCTCTCTCTCTCTCTCTCTCTCTCTCTCTCTCTCTCTCTCATACACACACACACACACATTAAAGAGCTCATGCCACAAAATTACTAAACATACAAGGGAAGAATCCACTGTGTCAGCAGAACTAAAAATTAGTTCATAGAATTATTAAACACTGTGGCAGCCAGCCTCTAGGGTGGCCCTATACACAGTGCCTCTTGATACCCATGCTTTCTCTCCCCTCTGCCCCCTTCTCATTTTTGAGATTAGAGTCCCATTATGTAGTTCTGGTTCTTCTAGAACTCACTATGTAGACCACTCTGGCCTTGAACTCACAGATATCCACCCACCTCTGCCTCTCGGAGCTGGGATTAAAGGCGCCTGGCCCACAAAAACTGATAGAACCAATGTGTGTTGTTCTGAGCCACAGAGCTTGTGATAAAACTATAATACAGCTAGAGACTAATAATGTGTTCTAAATGATAAAAGACAAGGCAAAGAAATTGAAAAGGAAATGCCCGTAAGAATTATAAAACACAAATATAATGTTTAAGAATGAAAAAAAAATCACAGCTGGGCAAGGCAGCACCAGCTTTTAATCCCAGGCAGAGGTGGGCAGCTGTCTAAGAGTTCTACATAGTAAGTTATAGGCCAGCTAAGACTATATTGTCTCAGAAACAAGCAAACAACAACACAAACAAACAAACAAAGCCTTATGAGTGAAAACTATAACTTAACTCAATGAGTGGGTTGCACAGCAAAATGAAAATGTGTATTACAAAGCACAGGCAGGGTTCAGGTGGGGAACCCAGGACAGGGCGGACTGCCCCAGAGTGAACCCTGCAAGAAGTATCAGCTGAGGACTGCGGAGAACTTACAGAGGCAAGATTCCTGAGACATCAGAGGCAAGTGAAGCCTAAGAGAGAGAGCATGGCGGTAAACACACTGTGGTCCAACCCAGAACTCTAAAGTCGGGGGGGGATGGTAAGGCAGTAAGTAAGAAACGGCATCTCCATCCTACAAGAACAGGAGCAGCAGAAGAGATGGAAAGGACAAGACAGGGAAGCAGAGGTGAATATGGTCAAAATGCATGATACACGCTTACAGAAATGTCACAGTTACGTGTGTTGTTATAGAATTAGCATGTGCTGACGACAAACAGAACCGTCAAGTCTTTAGGCCCACAACGAGCTAAGTCATCAGAATCAAACGAACATTTTCAGGCACATGAAATCTGTGGTTTTGCTTCTTTTTCTTTTTTTTTTTTTTTTACAGACTTATTTTTCACATATTTGTTATAGCGCTGGAGACCGAAGCCAGGTCTCACACATGCTAGGCAAGCACTTGCCAGTGAGCCAAGTTCCCAGCTCCGGTTTCTTGTTTTCCTGAATCTAATGCGTGTTGGTGAGCATGTGTCGGAACTTCATCCAGGGATGAAGCTGTGTGAGGTGACTTCTGAGAGCTTGTGGGGGAAACCCTAAGAATCCAAGACAAGGGTCTTGGTTTCAAACACGTGGAATTGGTCTTGGGTTGAGCTTTCTTGTCCCTCCCTACTGCAGCAGATAGGAGTGATTTTAACGCAGATTATTTATTACAACTGGCTATTGGCTTTAGTTTATATGTCTCTATGCCACGTGTGGCTTGTCTGCCGCGTGTGGCTTGTCCTTGTGATTGGTCACTTCGCTCAGGTGACTCCTCTTAGCCCTCAGAGTACAAACTGACACTCTGAATAGAGTTGGCTATTGCATGAGGCTTTAGTTTGCCTCATTTATGGAATCCACTCCTCCAGGTCCCACCGCCTCTATAATGGTTAACGTGCATATATGCTTATGAGCACCAATACATTAGTCCAAACCTTTGGGCTCATGGGTCATGCTAAATCCTTATTACTGGTTCTCCCCTATCTTCTCTCCACTATTATCCCCATACTGCTATTTGGGAGAATAAAACCACATATACAGAAAAATCACATAGGTCCTTTTAGTCTCTTAGTGTGTGACTTGGCAGACACACAGAAATGATGTAAAATCAAGCTCATGGCACATTCGACATGTAGTGGCAGATGACTATATTCCCTTGATGGCATTATCATTCCAAAGGCCCATGTTATAAATGAACGTTTGAAGAAAGCCATACAATATTCCTATTGTCATTAAGTGGGTGATATTTCACACTGTAAAACAAATGTATAATATCATAGACAAATCCTATATCTAGAAGAACAAAAACTTTGCATAATAAAACCCAAACTAGTTGAGATAGTAGTTCCTCCTACCAAGAGTAACAAAAGTAAAACAACTATAGGTACAAGATTAAAATATATATTTTTAAAAGCACATGAATTCTCTCCTTTTATTTCCCTCTATTCAATCTTAAAGGTGGGTGTTCTACACTGGCCTGCTCTTCCGATCCCTGCCTTGACTCCCAAAGAACTCCTGGCAATCCCCCAAACAGAACAACCCATTTTTAAAACAACCCAAACTGTCCAGTTTCTGAACCAGGTAGAGTTAGCTATTAGCAGCATTGCTAAGAACCAGGAAGCCTATGAAGCCAGAATAGAACCTCCTTCTTCATGCATGTACAGAATCTGGTTGATTATTAACACACAAACCATCCCACTTCACCGGGCAGCTGCAGACCTATTTTGGAGGAGGATTCTTTGAGTAGTGAAAACATAATAAAAATAACAGATGGTCCCACAGCAGACGGGGGCAATGGGTTAGGGGAGGAGGGGTAAACAGTGAATTACAGGTAGAGGGTTAACAAGCAGAACTGTGTGGTCTCAGAATAAAACGGTCCTGGTAAAGCAGAGATTCGTCTCATGATTTCGTGGAGACATCTGGGCTATGTCGGAGCTGCAGTCCTTATCCTCACGGCAAGAGGAACAAAGCTGTCACTGGGCTACAAAGCATAGCTGCTCACTCTGGACTTTGAGGGGTGGGGTGGGAGCAGCCAGGCATGCATCCAGGAGGGCACTCTGGTGTCCTGAGCAAGACTATGAGATAATAAATAACATGGTGATACTAACTCCCTGAGCAGCGTCTGGGGGTAGGCTCCTCTGGGATGGGTTGTTTGGGGGTTATAAGAATCACCCAGTGAGAGAGAGAGAGAGAGAGAGAGAGAGAGAGAGAGAGAGAGAGAGAGAGAGAGAGAGAGAGAGGAGTGGTCCGGAGACCTGACTCCGTAAACGATCTGGAGAGCCTAAGAATAAAACACCAGAAGGTCAGCTCGAGTCATAATTCTGTTCCCATCTCCACCTCCTGCCACTGCCCCCTGCAAGAGGCGGCTCTCTGTCCCCATTTGCAGAGGATCTTCTGTTCACCCTCCTCCAGGTTTTTTGGTTTGTTTTGTTTTTGCTATTCCTTCCCTATTTTGCTTCAGGGTGGTCTTGAAATGCTCTCTCCTCTGCCCTCTGAGTGTCTGTCTCATATGGTGTGTAGATGGGAGCCCAGACGCCTGCGTAGAGCCCGCACACGCACAGCCGTGGGCCAGCAGCCTGGCCCGTCCAACAGCTGACATCTGCAGGGGGCTCCCTGTCGCTCCCTTACGCATCTGCTCACAGAGTCCCAACAGAGATGTTAGAGGGCAGGCGCGGGGGGGCGCGGCGGCATTCTTTATGGGCAGAACAAGCAGTTGGCAGGAAGAGACAATAAAGTAGACCAGATAAAATAGATAAAACGGAAGGCGCATAGATCAGATTATAAAACATGAAGTATTCCCGGGGCAACGATCTGAGCCCTGCAACCCAGCTCTCCCTAGTCTGGGGGGCCGGACGCGGTTTTTACTCTCCTACGTACTCACAGCATTGCATGGAGCAGGGCTGTCTGCTACTTACTTGGGCTTGCTTGCACACTTTGAAAGGATGGAGTGTTTCTTGGTAGAACAGCTGATGGTAAGCCTGTAGGTCAAACCAAAAGTACACACTGTGCTTCCACAGCTGTGGACGGAGAAGTACAGAAATCGTCACAGCCAGTCAGCGAGGCCCTCAGACAGCTAATTCCCTACATGTCTACACACGCGCGCCCTACGCCCTTGCTGCTACTGCAAACCATGCCCAGCTTAAGCTGGTCTCAATCTTTTACCGCAAACTGGCAGTGTACAAGGCATTTATGGCCACTGTCAGTCGAACATTGTATTTTTGTATATAAGTGTTCCTTAGAGTTGGTCATTAAAATAGTAAATTTTTTTAAAATAGCGATGAATGCAATTCTAGCTGACAGGTAAAGAACATGTGTTTGTGACATGAAAGCACGGTCCGACACATCAACATTTGGGTAAGTCGGTATCACAGCACACCTAAATATTAACTACTAAGCCAATTAATCACTGTCCATTTGGGTCATACAAATATTGATTGTAATTTTAAAAACATTACTGGAAATCATTTTTACCTCTATTCATTATAATCAATGGTTGTTAAAATTATTTAAAATCAAGTATTAACAGAAATAAACTAAATATGGCATATTAAAATGAGATTAAGTCATATAATTAACTATAGCAATATATGTTAGTATTTATCTGTATTTCACTTTTCTTTGTAATTTTAGTAGGGTGGTAAACCAGAGAGAATCATAATTTGGTTGGATGGTTGAAGAGTTACTACATATCAAATGTGGATTTAATTTATCAGATGAGAATTTGAACATCAGATATATTTATATGAACACCAAGTAACTTCAATGCCACTTATTTCTAAATCAAGTAAAACCATAAGTCCAGATTTTAAATAATAACTTTCTACCTTGTTCCCTGAATTCTCGCAGAATTTAGTGAAGAAGAATCCAGCTCTATTTTCCACATACAAAGACTGCAACAAGTTTTCCATGTCAAAGCCTCCCAAGGCTCCAACATCTGATGCAGCTTTGACCTAGGAACAAGACAGGAAACAAACACAAGTTCACGATCCCCATGGACACAGTGGGATTCCTTATGATGCTGCAGGAGTGGGTTTCAAAAACGCTGCTGGCTGTCATCTTATTTATTCAGCATATACTCAATTGATGCAACGTGCTTGGTCTGACTGTCTTGTAGGATTCATTTGTGAAACTCGGTCATGGCGGGAGAATCCATTCTGGTATAATCCAGTACAATTCCAAGCCCGATGTCAGAGTAGCCCCCCTGACCTCAATTACTTTCATGTTTCGGGCAGAGTGGCTCCGTCGGGGAGCCTTCCAAGTCTCTGTTGGTGGCCTGTTTCCTACATATTTACTGTTATTTTAGCCTTGAGGTGCTGCTGTTCTAACTCCAAGTGGGTTATAAAAAGAACCATCTCAAGACCTCTCCGTGCTGCTTGTTAACTGTGGGGGGGGGTCCTCTCTTTGGACAGTCTCGCCCCCACAGGTCATGGCCTTCAGAGTGGAAATGGCAATGAAGTTCTCATAAAACTTGGCTGTTTATGGCTTCTCTGCCAACAATGCTAGCAGCCCTCATAGCATCCTCGACACACTGAGAGCTGGCTATTTCTCAGTCACGCAATTGACTCAAGAATATGCCCAGGGATGGGTCGTTCATGCAAACTCGCTATTTTTATGGGACTCAGACTTCGTGGGGACAGGTTTAAGCAAGACGTTTTTACTCTCTTCATCATACAGTCTCTGCCTGCTAGACAGATTCTGAGCCGAGAACATGATATTTGTTTGTTTTTAGTGTCTAACTAAAAGCATTTGAAACTGAAATATCCTTATCTTAGTAGGAAAAAAATATCCTAGCCAGAAGAAAAGGAGAACTATTTATTTAAAATAAAAGAAGTATGCAAAAGCATAACTGAGTGTTCAGGTAATGTCGGTCGAATTCTCAGGGGACATGAGATCTTCATCTAAGTCTTCATCTAATTCCCCTGCCGTAGATGCCTGCTGTCAAAGAAGCTGCACTCTGGAATCTAGTGTGGTAGTTTGAATGTAATACCCCCCCCCAAGCTCACAGGGAGTGGCACTATTAGGAGGTGTGGCTTTGTTGGAGGAAGTCTGTCACTGTGGAGGCGGGCTTTGAGGTGTCATACGCTCAAGCCATGCCCAGTGTCTCAGACCAGTTCCTGTTGCCTGCGATCAAGATGTAACTTCTCCGCTATCAGCTCCTTCTCCAGCACCATGTCTGCCTGCATGCTACCGTGTCCCACCATAATAATGGACTGAACCCCTGAAACTGTGAGCCAGCCCAATTAAGTGTTTTCCTTTATAAGAGATGCGGTGGTCAGTGTCTCTTCACAGCAATAGAAACCTAACTAAGGCACTCTGCCTTCATTAAAAAAAAAAAGAAACAGAAAAAGAAATTCGAGATTTCCAAGACATGACATCCAGTGTTTTAATTAAGAGTTACAAGAATATCTGAGATAA